AAGGTATTTTATTTAAAAATGAATGCTATTTACACAAAAACCAAAGGATATTATTTTGACAATGAATGTGTAGAAGGAAATGCTTTTCATTTTCATATTACTTACAAAAAGAATGCCATGGCCACTTAATTTTTTCTAGTTTTAAGAAATAATCCGCTGTCTACACGGACACAGGTAATATCTACATAGCAGGATGAATCATATGTTGAAAGAACATATTCTGAAGGTGATTTTACAGATTTAGTGATGATCACTAAATATGTAAAGGGCCATGCACATCTCTGTGGAATTCAGGTATGGAATTAATAAGTAACTCAGGCCAGCAGCATTGATTTTGGTACAACAGTCCTGAGCAAAGCAGAGATTTATTTTTTTTTATTTCTGTTTTAAGCAGAAGGAGTTTAATATGCATTCTCCACAGAAACTGGCAGCTGGAAACCAGATCTGGAATTCAATTTTCATCAAGAAACCTGTGAGGACCCAGAAGTTGCCCTAACTAGGCTGCCTGCAGAAGAACAGAGTAGCAGGAGATGGGGAAGGCAAGAAAACCAAGAGTGAAAGCAAGTTCTTCCATCCCCATACAAAAGGCAGAGAGGGAAGACAGCAGTTGAAAGAAATTAGAAAAAGAACAGTCCTTGTGGAAAAATAGTCACATAGGCTTTTCATGGTAATCTTTAGTCCAAAACAGACATAAAAATATTCATAACCCCTCAAATTCTGAGTACTGATAATGACTAATTAAGGGGGGTTGGGGCATTTAGGGAATGCAAGTGCTTTTTAGATCTGCCGAAGGAAGATGAATCCAGGGAAGAAAGTGGCCATTTTTCTCCCCATAAAACATAGCAATAAATGCAGGGACCCAACTTTCCTGAAGAAAATCTCACAGACTGATCAGCCATCTCAAGTGTCCAAACATTACCCTCAGTAACTTCTAGAAAAGATAGACTTATATAGTTACAACCTTTAAAAGGAATAATCTGGACAGAACTAATTATAGCATCGTCTTTGATACACTCTACAACCTTCACACAAACAAAGCTGTATGTCACACAGCTCACCATAAACTGTGCTAACAAGTCAGATGGAAATGTGGTACCAGCTCATGAGACTGGACAGTCTCTGGGGCAATGAATGTCTCTTTTTTCTTATCTTGTAAATGACCTTGCACTCTTTTGGGAGAAATAAACACAAACAAGAGATCCTTGCTCATACCAAGAGCGGTCTTTCAAGGAGCTGTGGAGAAGACACCAGTAAAAACCCTACCTGGAAAATAATCAAGATTTGACTATAGCTACTTGTGAGAAATAGTAAATACCTTCTTTGCACCAATGCCACACAGAAAAAAATTTGATTGCCAAGAGGGTGAGAGAGGCACGGGAACTTCTGGACAGTAAAAATATCTTAACTGTTATGTACAGAAATCATCTTGTAATAAAAGACTTTTCAGGTACTACTCCTTCAAACCGAGAGTCCAGAGATGTGAATAAGTGGCTAGGCCTGAGGAAGAGGAGCCTGAGGAAGAGGAGGATAGCCATTTGTGGTTTTCTGAAGTAGAGGTGCTGCTAAAAATCCAGTTTATGTTTTATTTCCCCTTTTCCCTCAGTCTTCAGCTTGGGAAGAAGTGGAAGAAGATGCACATTGGAACTCTCTTCTCTCCTTATAAGATCTCAAAACCTGGAAAAACGAGCTCTGAACTAGAGAGATGATGAGATCTCCTTAGGATACTGTGAAGAAAGACAAACCAACTCTTCCGCAAAGACTAAATTCTGCCTCAGAGCATCCATGTATGTAATTTTTCACAAGACTTCGAAGCACAGAGAAGTTTTCCTCCAGGAAAAGTAACAGGTACCTGGAAAATAATCACGGGGATTTTTCTGCTCCAAATAAAGCTACTCCTACTGAAACACCTGCAATATTTAGAAGCTGGGTGTGCAAGCACCAGCTTCCATTCCTGAGTTACCTGAAACGTAAACCATTTCCAATTCTATGCCATATATGTTAAAACTTCCAGGCAGAACCTATCCATGCATCCCTCTTTTCAAGTCTAAAAGAGATTTCATAAATGTACGTAATGGGTTCAGAAACTTGTTCACTCATAACAAAATATACCCAATAGCAAATCTCAATAGAAAATAAATGTATAATCCACTTCAAATACAGAGAAGTTGAAAATACTTAAACTCGGGATGAGCATAGAAAATCTTCTTTATAAAGCCAGAATAGGCCTTTGCTTTTCTATTTATTGCATTTTTAGTAAGATGAGCATTGTAGCACTGCAAGCAACAAAGCGCTGTCTGAGAAGGAGAACTCAAAAGGCATTATTTTTACAATTGCAGTTGAGATACTGCAGAACTTTAAAGTAAACTTAAAGAAACTACATTTTTGTGTATATTCATTCTATGAGTCAACCTGTGTGTTCCTGACTGACTCGGAGGCAGCAGTATTTCACAAACCATTAAATCATCCACAAGTGATTTCCTCCTCCATCAAACATCCTCAAACCTTTCTCTCTCCACAAAAGCAAAGACAGACAAGATCATTCCCTCAGCTAACACAACCCACTCAGTGCTAGAGATGACACGTCTGGTGCACCCAGACCACACACTCCTTCAGCAGGAATGATTTTTCTTAGCTCAAGTGGAACGCATGCCTAATAAAAAATTCTGAATTGCTCATATGAATTAATAAACGAGCCTTTTGTGCTGTTTTGTATTTACAATTACAGCCTTCAGATATGACAGCACCACTACAAATGTTCTACTTGACCTGCAACGTGACTAGCAGGGTTTTGATTTACCAGACCCCTTGGCCTCGTGGAGAAGCCTGAATCCAACAAGCAGCTTCCTGATGGATCTTCACTGATGGTGGAGTTTTGACCCCTCTGAAGTCAGTGGCAAAACACTACATGGGTCAGGATTGCACTTAATAAATGTTCATCTTCCTCTGCTGTGAAATTTGTTTGGCCATATTTTATAATGATTTTTTATGTTCTTTAACATGAGCATACAACACACTCATAAAATACTGGACACAAATATCATGACGCAGACTGTCCTGCTAAGCAAAAAACAGGTGATGCTTAGGAACACCAAGAGTCTTGCAAGGTGTTAAATGAGTTTATCTCAATTGTAACAAAAATAATGCAAAGCTTTTCCTGCCACCTTAAAAGATGGAGAGAACGGGTTTTAGAAATAATTGGTGAGTCAACTTCTGAAATAAACTGAATTGTTTCTAAAATAAGCACACATCCTGTCCGGATGTGCATATAGAATCATGCCATGATTTTATCTTTTCTTCACCAAGCATGACTTTATACAGTAACTTAAACATTCAGACAATCTCGAAATTGTATCACACACAGAACTCGTATTTTCTCACTCCTCTTGAACCATGATAATACACATCATAATGCAACAGAACTGAGCAGTAAAGCCATGTAATAGTCCAAGACCTGTATAAGTTAGAAACCATGAAGGGTGACGATAAGACAACTTTTTTAAATTTTACACTATTTTGATTCACTTACTCAAAAGCTTAGTATACCTCAAAATTTAGATTCAATAGTGAACTTACTGATCAGTGAAAGTCTTGTGAGTTTAAAGATTTGTGTACTCCCCTCCTCTTTAGACTTCCAAGTACTTTCTCAATGAAAATTTCTTCTTGCTGATCATTCTGTTTCACAATTGTTTCATAACATTTACAGGTTTTGGATTTTTGGCTTTTGTTTAAAAAAGTATCTTTTGAGAGCACAATGTCCCCCATTCAAGTGAACTGTTGCGCTGTGGATTCTGATCTTCCCAAATTTAAATCTCTACTGTCATTTTCCCAGAGTTTTAAAGTACTCCCGTAAAATTATTGCTCCTTGTGGGGAGTGAAACAAGGATTGAAAATATACTGCTAAATATTTTACTTTTCCAATATTTAAAACAGATCAAGTAAAAATTATTACAGCAATTGTACTTGCAAGAGTTACTTCATTTCCAATTTGAGGAATGTGTTTCACTAAATTGGCTGACCTTAACATCTCTGTGGGTGCAAAACTTTCTTGAAACTTTGTTCGTCTCTCTGATACCTTTTTTTTTCCCATTAATTATGTCTAGTGATCAATGTAGCCCAGATCTGACTGTGCAACATTGTTCAAGCTCCTTTACCAGTTACCCTCAAAATTTAACCAAGTACAGGGTGTTGAAGAGGCATTGGTAAAATATGCTGAACAGATCTATCTGTGGTGCATTTACAATATAAGCTGTTGTTTACTACAGAGAAGGCAAGATCACCATTAGCTCACATACTGTAAGACACCAAGCCATTACAACAGAAAATGGTCACTTAGCTGATTCATTCCTGTTGTTGCAAATCTGTGTTTGTAAGACATTGGGTTGTGGCAGTCGGTTTTCAATTTTATCTGTAGAAATGTATTTCAGCAGTAACTAGACAGTATTTCTAAGACAGATCCGGTAAAGACTCAAGGAGAGAGGTTTCACAGTTGTACTGTGAGCATTATTCTCCCTCAAAACACCACTGAAATTCCTGCTGTGTTTTGAACTAAGTCTCAAAGGCAGCAAAACCGGCATAAAACTTCTGCTCTTTAATACTCCCGTTCTCTTGGACCAGATGATTTTGCATTTAACGAATTCCGTGATGCTGAATTGTTTATTAGGATGAGAAAGACTTACTCCAGGATACAAAAATATCTGAACAACCACGCTCTCAGGCTGTGGGGTCCTGGCAAAAGCCAGGGGATCAATTCTAACTGCTGAACAGCCTTTTCTTTAGCACTGGCGGAGCTAATTGGGTATTTGGACAGGTCACATCCATGCTTCCATTTGCCTTTGTGACCAGCCTGATGTGTCCATGTACAGAAGGATATTCTTTATTCTGCATTAACACCTGGGACAGCATCTTGATCTCTGAGATGGCTTCCAGGAGTTACTCGTGTTGTGCTCCATCACATTTTATCACATGCAACTAAAAAAATGTGGTAAAGACACAAAACTTACATAGTCATGGAAGGCTTTTGCTTCACTTGAGTGTTCACATGTTTCTCGTCTTTCTGGAGCTGCACAGTAGAGATCCCAAAATACACTGCAAGAAGTTACAGAGAGGGTGACAACGTCACTGTAATGCTCATGTAGATTCTATGGTGTACACACCTCCCCCATGTGCATGTCCCTGTGTAGAAACAGACACATTACTTTCCCTCCAAGGGATGAAAACACCTCTGAGGAAGAATTTAGCTTTGTAAAACACCTGTGAGGAATCAAGTCCTGCTGTCTGATCTGAGGCAAGCAGTGCTCTTCTTCAATACCACTGTAGTACAGACCAAAAATGTAGGCCAATATATATGGCTTAAGAGTACAATGTGTATTAGTTTGTATTTAACCTCATCCCTCCGGCAACTGCTCCAATTAACTTCCACAAAAATGGATTTGTAATAACATGGAAAGGAAAGAATCTGGAGAGAGAGACGGGATTCCTTCCAATGTCAAGGTTCACAGAATCCCAGAATGGTTTGGGTTGGAAGGGACTTTAAAGTCCATCCAGTCCCAACCACATGCCACTATCCCAGGTTGCTCCAAGCCCAATCCAACCTGGCCTTGGACACTTCCAGGGATGAGGCAGCCACAGCTTCTATGGGCAAATGTCCAATATTGTCCCTAAACAAAAGTTCCCAGAGAATCTGGTGTATGGACCATTTTCTGGTGTAGAAAATAGATGGGCATGTTCTTGGGTCATAAAGAAAGGAAACTAAGGTACCTACTCCCATTGGTCTTCCCCCCAAACCTCTTCAGAGTTATACACAAATCAAATATAACAAAAAGTTTCTGGAATGAAACTATATGCGTGTTAGAATGATTAAAATAATAAAATTTGTCATAGTAGTTTTTTAATGGTTTAGACTTAACGCTTTATAACTTAGTCCAGCACCCGCTTTATAATCCTATAAAGTTATAATCCTTTATAACTTAGTCCGAGGCCTTGTGGACAATTTGAGTACTATACTGCAGACCATCAGAATTAGAGATAATGCAGAAATGAGAGATAAAAAGGACACATTCTTCTTGCTAGGCTGCCATCACACAGTTAAAGCTATGAAAGAATGGTCAGTGAAAATTATGCCACCTTCCATGCAACTGTACAGATCAGTTGGGTTCAAATGGGACCATTTTAACACTTGTAAATTCTTGTACTGCTGACAGCTAGACATGTTCTCTGCAATTTTCTATTCTTTCAAACACAAGTATATTGGATATATTCAAATGTGACAATGAATAAATGCCATAGCTATACAGCAGTGACTGTGAGAATTCTACACACACAACTGTGGACTGTAGGCTGAGAAAGTTCACACCCACACAGAGGCTCTGTATATTGGGGGTTTTTTTCCGAAATGCAATTATTTAGGATATGCAGAGTAACTTTTAATTGCAAAATTTTCTGGAAGGTGAAGAAAGAAATGCAGGCCACTCTCTCCAGAAAATGCTTTTTTAACAGTACACAGGCAGTATTTCTTTTTTCTGTATCTAATATCAGTATCTTTCTCTATATCTAATTCTCTGTTATTTCATTCCTTAACAAGAAAATGGTTCTTAATTCTCATCCTCCCATTCCTTTTACTATGTTCACCTGAATTTCTTGCCTCCAGCTGCTGGAACCAGCATTCAACATATACTAAAACATCAGAGGAGAAGAAAATTGGTACTTACCACCACCAAGAATGCAAGAATCCTGGGGGCTCCCCCAGTGTGATGTTTTTTTCCCATCTTATCTAAAATAAAACAATAAAAACAGAGGTGTACATTTTTGTGATCATTGTGACTAAAAGGCACTACATAATTCAAGTATCAAAAGGATAAACAAGATTTCACAGTTATGAAAGGCTTTATGATCATCAATCTGGTTGGCCATATTACTTTATAACACCTATAGATATAGCTGATACTTGAAATTGAGCTTTTTTCATGCTAGGGAAGCATATTTTAGATTTTTTTTTTGGGGGGGAAAGGGGCTTCTGAATACAATGTGTGTTATTTTAAGGTAAAAAACGCATGACCAAAAAAAACCCTGATTGTAACGTACCCTTAAAATCTCGAATATTTTGCAATTTGCACAGAACCCGTGTTATGGATTCAGCAGGTGGCAGTGTTCCCCCCACAGCCACAGCCAGCCAGTGTTTTATAATCCTCAAGGAGTGCTTTAGTCAGAGGCGATGTGGAAATTACAAGCAGCATCACAGTTATAACCCAGGCTCCCACCACTCAAGTGAAGATGTAAAGCTCTTTTGGCTTGGTTTTCTGTGCTGGCAAGCTCTCATGAATGCCTATACTGGCTGTGACTTCATTCCCACCCAGGAAACCTGGTTTGTTTAGCACTGTCTTCAAGGGAAATGCAGTTTAAGAACTCTTGACTTCACACTTCTGCTGTTGATCAGTGAACCCATCAGACAACATAAATCACAGTGACTGTGTTCTGCAATACTTCCCAAATACTGTATCTAAACTATAATAATATAATAACGCCAGTCATTAACTTGTCCTCAAATCCAAAATTGAGTAGTCTGTGCTGTAACACAGCCCACATAGCACTGTCCAGAAGAATGTCTGTCAGAACTGGGTGGAAACTGGGGCACTGTGTGCACTCCAAATTCCTCCAGTTACAAGGACACACAGCATTATTTCCTGTCCAATTTTGTTAAAAAAAAAAAAATTGTTAAAAAAACAAACCATATTCTTCTCTAGGGACAGAAGTAATGGCAGATAAAAGGAGGGTTATTTTAATTAAATGCTTAAACAGCCTTAATATGATAGATATTTAAAGATACATATATGTAAAAGTACATAAAAGTTTAATATTATAACTTTCCAAAGGAGATTAAAACTTTGATTCTCAACTTTGATTTGATTTCTTCAGAAATTTAAACATATACAAATTCTGTCAATAGATTGTAGAACAATACGTTGTTCATATACTTAAAAATATTGTTGGCACTCATATGAAAATCCATATAGAAAATCTCACACTTACATGAAGAAACCCAATGTAATTTTGATATATTACATGAATAAAGCTATTCAAAAACAATTTTGCTGTTTTAAATTGTTTTTAAAAGACAACCTTGAGGTACTACCACTTGTTTTGGTAAGGTGGCAGAATGAACCAATACTCCTCACACACGTCAACAGCTAATATATAAAAAACATAATTCAAAAAGCTCCTGCTTAACTGCTGGCTGAAAAAAATTATAAAAATTTAAGATAAAGGCCAAAAGCTACTACAAAGGTATTACGCATTCTTCAAAAACACTTCCCTAAGGCATGACTGCTCCTTATGTGCAGTGGGAATGGTTTGGAAAGACTTATATTAATAATCTGGAATGACAGTATCTCTGAGAAGTTCCAAAATAACATCATGAAGAGATGCACTGCACAATCAAAGGGAAAAGGGGGTTCTGAAGTTGAAAAATCAATCAGTGAAGAGTAAAAATTTTGTCTGCAGGACACCCTCCCTATGCCTAAGCTGTATTTGTGCTCTTCAAAGCAGGGCTTAGTGAGGAAATTACCCAATTCCTCTTATGTCCTAGGCCATATTTCACCTTCAGAAATTCAATTGGAGAAGTAGCCTGAAGGGAATGTGGAAGTTTGGGGCACTTTTCAAGGATTTTTGTTTTGTTTTTTCAAAATATTTACACACTTGCCTCACATGGCAGATGTCTGTCTGATCACAGAGACTTACAAAGAATTATTAATCTTAGAAAAAAAATCCCTCATTGTCATCTGTATCAGTTAAACTCATAGCCAAGGAATGATTAACTGGGAAATACCCACCCACCTGGTCCAGGCTAATGGAATTATTCCTCCCAGGCTAGAATCTAACTTCCAGGATAGAAAATACATGGGAGAAGGATCAGATCTTCAAAGGAAATGTACATAATTCAAAGTATACACAAAGCATTACAAAAATATAGGGATACTCAGGACAACTATCTCTAAGTTAACCAGTATCAGAGTGGATTCCATGACATCCAACTTAAATTTTCTTTTAATTTGGTTTCATGACTCTGAGCCACACTGCCTTGCAGATCTTTAAGGAAGGGCTCCCAACCTTTGCCATTTATACATATATACATACTACTGACTGCTGTATACATTCAGTTTTGGAGCTACTCTGAACCATTTAATCTTTAATGAAATCCACCCAAAATGACAGAGCAGAGAGGGCACTGAGTCCCAACAGCCACACAACCACTCATAAGTATTGTCAGCACCATATTTACCCTTCTGCACTGCTAATTAGTCAGGTAAATAAACTCACAGCTCACACCAACTCTATACACTATTAATTGTCCCTGACCCACGTTTGCTAACTCTTCGATAGTACCAGTTTTAATTTGAAAGATTTGTTATATCCTCATATTATGTTGTTCAGACCTGAGAGTTTCTTTGTAAGCCAAGACTGAATTAGTTTTAAAAGCTATGTTTCAAGACCCTGTATTTAATGTTTTCTAGAAATCCAAATGTCATACCAGTTACACTTCTGCCAAGTGCTCATTTTGCAAATATATCATAAAAACAAAATGAGCAAAATTTATCTTATGCAGTGCAGTATTTACAAATGGCAGCTGTTTTGGGAAAGCCAAAATGATACATTATTTTCTCTCTTATTTTTCCACTGCTTTACCAAAGAGAAAAAAAATTGTCAAAAATATACTTTATTATAAACTCAAACTTGCTTTATGGTGAACTTGCCACCAGCTGCTGCAAGAGAGGAGCCCCAAAGAGAAGATACAAGGAGTCCCTGAAACAACATCTCAGCCTGGGCCATACTGATCAACATAACTGGTCTACTCTGGCCTCCAGTCGGGAGGTCTGGAGACACACCATCTATAACGCTGCTGATGCCTTTGAGAAAGCACGCAGGATCACTCTTGAGGAGAAAAGACAAAGCAGAAAGAGTCATGTCTTGCAGAATATACCACCTAAGGAGTCTTTCTGCTGTGCCTTTTGCAACCGGACATGTCTATCTCGTACTGGCCTCATAAGCCACCAGCGTGCCTGTAACAAACATGGATAGAGCCTTCCCAAATCTTCGTTCGCGAAGCCTAGACATGATAAACTCAAACTGATACTACCACAATTCTACCCCTTTTCCTTCTCTCTGCTACATGAATTTTGTATAAGCATCACAAACAACGCTCCGGATTCTCATCCTCCCCTCTTCAACCTCCAAAATGTCAGCACCAGCATAGTAATTTTATTAGCTTTTGGAAGAGGATCAGCTGAATCAGCAAATTTTCCTAGTACATCATCTTGCCTATTTTTTCATGACTTCTGCTCACTATTCAACTGTTGTTATTATTATTATCTTAAATATTCCTGTCAAAGAAAGATTAAAAACAACAATAAATCCAAAAGACCTCAATATATTTGGCACACATTTATATCCTAGGTCAAATGTAAAATGGTAAGGAGATGCAATTTACTTCAGCCTTCAAAAGATGCATACAAAGCCTTTGAAAGACTATGAAAATAAAATAACTATTGTGTAAAGGTAAAAATTCCATTAGCAGTTGAAAATGTTTAAAAAAACAGGATCTAAATGGTTGTAGGCAACAGTGATTCAACAGATGAAAAGAACTGAAGTGGTTAAAAGCATGGTAAGGGCACAGAGAGATGCTCAAGAGGAGAACTGATAGTGTGTGACAGCAGAATTCAAAATACATTATTGTGGTGTATTTTGGAAGGGCCCATCATTCAAAATTGGATATATCAATAGTAATTTGAAAGGTCATAAAAAGAGAGTACCATTGACTCTAACGTGCACATTTATTAGAGAAAATAGATTAATCTTTCCCCAACATGGAATGGGGATAACAAACCACAGCAAAAGCATTTACACAAAGTCACGTAAAATAACACGGCAAACTGGCTTCCACAGAATGAGAAACCTGTGCTGGTCGAGGCAAACTGGTACTCAAGGTTCTCACTGTTGTTTTCCTAGACTCAATCAAGTTTATCTCACTGGGAAGTCGTGCAAGGAAACGTACCTCTGACAAAAACGTCTGGGCGGATTTCTGTGCTCCTACATGGAGCAGATATTCATATACGTACAGTGCTAATCTGAAAAACAAACAGAAAGGACAATATTTAGTGCTGTGCATTTGTTTGCTCCTCTTCTTTAAAGACAAAAGATTATCACAAGTTGCACAAGGTGCATCCCACTACCTCCCACAGGTCACGATGTACTGAACGTGTCAAATCTATCACCTGTACCAGAAGTTTTAAACTAGACATGTAGGTCAATCTGACCAGAGGTGTTTAAATAGTAGTTAATTAAGTATTATTAGACCCCCAAATTACTTAATGTCAACATTTTTAATGATATTTGGACAAGTGCCCAGTGAACTATCAACTGACCTACTGCTGCTCTTTACGAGTATGCTTACTGTAAATACAAGATATTCGTACAGCAACACTGATTATTTTTCCAGAGCAAATTTTTTTACACGTGGAATGTGTCAAGCTGTTAGCACACTTGAAAAATAGCCTGTGTTTATCCAAAGAACACACAAACCCCAGGCTACATCAGGAAAAGCAATCCCAGCATCAATGCAGTACCACCACACCTGTCGAGCGAAGTGCAAACAGGCTTTCAGATTCATTCAGACTTGTGCTCTGATGACAACAGAACTACAAACAACTATTACAGCTCCCAAAGGAGCTTCCCAAAGAGCCGTTTCCAGACACATCTCCAAGGAAAGACAAAGAGCTGGAATAAGGATCTCACTGCTGTAAGAGGACTCATTCCCTGAACGACCAACCGGCACAACCTGGGCTGGGAAGGCCTGTGCAGCAGCCCATGAACGGTGGAGCAGGAACAGCAACCAGATCCAACTGATACAGGCCATGCAGGCAAGATTTAAATTAGAAAACCAAAGAAGCAACGCTTTCTATTCCTCTGATTCTCTAGAGGGGCTCCCATCTGTCTGTGCGCTTAAGTCTTTCAAAATGAACCACTGTGTAAAAGAATGATTTAATAATAATGATTGGAAACGATCTATAAGACATTTCAGGAGGAAAAGAGAAAAGGGAAAAAGGGAAAGGGAGGAAGACGAGGAGGAAGAGGAAGAAGAGGAAGAAGAAAAAGAAGAGGGAGAGGGAGTGTCCTTTAGTAGCTAAACTGCTTTTAAGAAGTAAAATGTACTTTCGTGCACCTACTGATACATGGCTATTTTCATTTGAAACATTCTTAGTTATCATATTCGAAAACTTGCAGTTAACTATGCACAGTAGAGAGGGAGACTATGTGTCTTCCTGTTACAGTTCAAAACCCCATGCAATGATCACTGTCATCATGGCACTGATAGAGTAGTAGTTATTGCAGTGATCTAATAAGTGTGAAATTTTAAAATCTCAGAGAGGCATTCCATAAAAATTATTTTTGTTTGTTGTTTATACTTTGTACATGCAATACACACATACACATTACTTTACTCTCTGTCCAACTTCAAAAGCAAAAATGTACTTTTTTCCTTAAATATATATATTCAAACATGACTGGTTGTAGTTTGCACTCTGTGAGTACGTGGGGAGAGAGGATCTCTTAGAAATTGACTCAATTCTTCACAGTTTGATTGTCATCCAAATCTTAAGCAATAAATGTTTGTAGATGAAATCTAAGACAGACATAACGGGCAGAGTGGAAGCGCTTTTCTGCTACAGCCAAGACATCCTGAATATCCAGTAATGCTTTAAAGCACCTCTTTGTCTTATGAAACTCCCTTTTTTCTTCTTATCAAAGCATGAAGCCTGAAGTCCAGATAAAAGGATTTGTGTGATCATATCCTTTCTGCCTCGCAAATGAAAGCGAAACAGCACAAAACCCTGGAGTTTATTGCAGGGGTTTTCACCACCTCCACAGGTCTGCCACGTATTGAAAGCTTTAGCAAATACGGCACCACGATGCCCAAACTGACAGCACAAGACTGTAATATCCAGAGGGATTTGTGACTTTCACCTCAAGGCCTCTGGAGGCTACCTGCGAAACACAGAAAAGCCCCAGCCCAGCCCAACACCCCCAGCCTGTTCCCATCATCTCTGGTCCAAAAATCCAAGACATTTTAACACTGCAAAAAAGACAGACCTAAAACTTTGACTTAAACATATGGAATGTGCTAATTAAGCGTTATGATAACTGTAACATCTCCAACTCTTTGATATGCCCTATTACCTTTTGGGGTAAACACACTGGCAGTGAAATGAAACAGTGTTTAATAAATGTGGGGGGGGGGGTAAACATGACAGATTTCAGTAAAACAATAAATATGCTGGGTTTTAGGCTTCCAAGTTGATCCACCTGTGGTAAATCCCATGCTAGCAAAGGGACTGGCTGCCTCCTGTGCCAGGAGGAAAAAAAGAAAGCCGGGACCACCTTCCACGAACAGCTGTGAGACTGGAGGCACAACACAAAATAACCTGTTTGAGTCTTATTAGATCTGTATCTCTGGTCCCTCCCCGTTATTATGCTGTCAGGAAGTCTTTACAGAAGTCAACAATGTTATACTTCATTCAGAATTAAATGCATTTACCATAGAGATCAAAAGAAAGATACTAATGTTTAACAGTGTTGCAGCAAAAAGGATCAATGCAAACTGATGCTCTGAGGAAAGGCATCAGAGACAACCCAAAAGATGCAACACTGTATAACAAGGAGGAATACCAGATACACAAACTTTAACTACAGGACAGACCCGAGTAAGATAAAAACCAGGCTACATTTCAAATGTGTAAAATGAACAAATGAATAAACTATTTAACATCTGGGCAGAATGTAACAGTGAGGTGGTCTCTGACAATAAAGGACTTGGGTTTGAAGTGACATTTTAGAAGACAGTTTTTACTCATTAAACTGGTGTGAGAAACCATGCAAAAGCAGCGAGCAGACATATGTTAAATTTTCACATTTGCATACTTGTTGACATCCCATGAGTAATGTGAGGAAAAAATATTTCCAATCAATTTATGACAATGCTGAAGCAATTTTTTTAAAGACATGACATAGGCCAGAATTCCTCACTCCCGGTCAAGACAATTAGAGCACACATTCATCTGTAGCCTGATGAAACATTCACTTCATTAACAAACAAAAAAGGTTACTGTCTAGCTCATTTTGCTAACCTAGTGCACTTTGCCTGAAGTTTCTGCTCTAACTGGACAAGGCATTCTTACATCCTACAAGTACCTACTGAATTCCAAAGAAATGAACCATCTAAGTGGTTCAAGTTAACCAGTTATCAGAATATTACCAGGAAATAAACAGTAATCCCTTTTGCTGTGCTGTGGGAATGACATTCTTACACGTTAAGGTGGGAAGATGCAATTAGCTTAGTGAGAGTTTACAACTGAAGCCTTGCAGCAGTATTTCCACTGATGAAAACATGGTTAACTCACCCAATTCCAACCCAGAAGACTAAGATTACACATCACAGAAATGTCCCTAAGATGCTAGCACCTCCTCTGTCATCAACAGACATTTTGCTGTTAATATCTGATGCTGGCTGTAAAAAAAATAAAGTACCTATAATGAGAATGTTCTAGATCTGAGCATCAGCATGATACATTTAACATTTTAAGACTGGTAAGACTTAATTTTTTTAAAACTATTCATGTATGGAGAGTTCTGCATATGGCATGTGGTTTTTTAACAGTAATAAAAAAACTAGCAAATCGATATCCATATATAATTTTGAGTGAACAACAATGAAAAATAACTCCATAGAAAATCTTAAATTCCTCTCCATGTTTCAGAAGACTTCAAGTATTCCAAAATTACTGCTCTGACTTATGAAGAGAAGGAGCTATTTTGTTATTTGCAAAAAGGGCTATAGACTCCATTTCAAATCCAGAGGCTCCTTAGAATCTCACTCATTTCATAATCAAAATACAAACCTCACTCTCTGAAATAAGAGAACGTAGCACTGAATCCATATCTTAAATTGGGAGTTTCTTGAACAAATTTTCTTGAATCCATCACTCCAGTATTTTAAAACCTGCTCTGAAGCTCTTGATGATGAGCTAGTTTTACTAAATTTCAATTAACAATGGTAAACATTATTTTAAAAAAGTAGTTGGTTTTTTTTTTAACAAACATATATGCCAAACCACTCTTTCTGGCCTACTTGATCATACTGACAGTAATTTTCCCTGTGCTCTCTCTCTCTCCTCTTATTTAGCACATCAATATGCTAATATAATTTCCCCTATATTTTTAATATATTTTTTTCATTAATGGCCTTGACACTGCAGTGATTCACCTCACACATCCCCCAGCACATCAGCTCTCCAAGGCACATCGTTTCACCTACATGCCATTGATATTTTTGGTTTTTTACCCTGAGTCCAGCAGGTTGCCCTTTCCAAGAGCTTCTTATCATGCCAGTCTGTTGCTTTTTTTTTTTTTTACAGCTCCAAACATGATCTATGTTAATGTTAGTCCTCTGTATCCCTTCAGCAATGTGACTGGTTTTCTTGGAAACACATGGGTATGAAATGAAACCCAAACACTGGTTGAGGAAACAGTAAGTCCCAGAGGAGTTACTCGATGTTTGTTTGGGAATGTGCACTGACTGCTCTGAGAGCTCCTGCACAGCCCTGTAAACACAGCCAGAAAAAAAGTGAATGCACTCAATATGATTCACACCCATTTCTTTCTCCCTCTCTCTGTAGACAGCAGAAAACATTCTTGCATGCCCCTAAATAAGTGGGGTTTACACTCAGTGCTACAACGAACAGTGGCCTTGGTGCCTTGCATTAGGCTGACGGTGCTTTTAAAGTAAGCTGATCCTTTCTCCTTGTTTATCTCAGTTTAAAGACAGGAAGAGCCTTCACCTACCACAACTCTCCAGTCTCCCTTCCACTTGATTCCTCACAAGATGCCCTGAGACAATGCCTCTTAAAGTCTGGTCACCCTCCCCTTGATTCTATTTATTGCTTCAAGTGTTAAAACAGTTGCAATCTATTACTCTAAAAGCATTAAAAACAACAGCAGGGTTTTCCAGTCCACCCATACACTTGCAGCTCACAAATTTGTGTCCTAATTTCACATGTTTTTGCTACTTAAA